CCAAATTCCCACAGTCAGAAGCTGTACCACTTTGCAAGTGGCAGGGGCAGTCGCAACGGCTCGGTGTTTTCATGTGATCTTGCAATCTGCGGTGGGCATCTTGGCGGACCGCACTCTTTCCTGTCTGAGAACAAAACAGGTTGTTCGCTCAACTTGCTAAACGCGATGGCGGTAGAAGGGAACCCTTGTTTGTTCCAAAACTCCACACAGTAACCTTCAACCTGGTTTCCAGCAAGGGAAACAGGGTTGGCTTCTTCAGCTCAGGTGGAATCCCAGGCTCTTCCGTCATCCACAGTCCGTGGAGGACAGGTAACCAAAGGCAGAAGCGTGTTTCTCACCTAGAAGCAACTCGGAACTTTTCATTGCCTCCAGCTCCATTCCCCAGGACTGACACGTTAGGGTTTTCCTTTTTCAGAAGGATATTTTGTTTTTCTCACAATCAGGCAGAGGTGGGAGTAGCTGAGCTGGAAACCAGCAGACAGCATCCTCAAGGAAAGGAGGCTGGGTTTCGTTGCTTCCTTTCTGAAGTTATTCTTTGGATTTCTTGTAAGCAGCCCCGTTGGCCGGGATCAAGCCAGCTTCGTGGGGATAAAGGCTGAAGTGCGGCCAGCTGGCTACCCATCCTGGCCACTCACCTCCGGGGACTGATTCTCCATTCTTCTTAGGAGTGAGCCGAACACCTTAACTAGTCCATAATGCCACTTATCACACTGAGTTAAGGGAGCTCAAAGTGCCCCTGGGTGGCTGAGTTCCATTCTTCTCCATCCCCAAGACATGGGACGGGTGTCTCCACAGCTCCTCTTCCAACACCTGCCATGGATGACATGAAAAAGATAGGGTTCTCTACAGCACAGGTTTACTCCCTGGGGGTTTGGCTCTGTGTTGGCTTCATAGAGCTCCTGGCTCCAAGGGAAGAGGCTCTTCCTGCTGCTTCTTCCTTTGCCGTTCTCGCTTGGCCCGCCAGCAGACCAGCGCAGCTACCAGGAGGCCAACTCCGAAAATCAAGGTGGCCACGGAGACCACCTTGGCAATGTCCATTTGGGGCCCATTGATGGTGAAGGTGATGCAGGTGGCGGCAATGCCGATCACCAAGGCAACGATGCCAAAGGGGAAGATGCAACGGTACCAGGACTTCTCGGTGCCCCCTGTGGCCAGGGCGAGCTTATTCAAGGTGGCTGTGGAGTCTGTGGTGGCAGCCACAGGCAGCCCTGGTTTTCCTCCTTGAAGGCAAGTCAGGGAGTTGGACTTACAGTTCATCATTCTGGCTGGTGCCTGGTGGAAGAAGCCTACACCAACTCCCCAGGAGGAGGAGGATCCAGAACTCCTGCGAGCAACGCCACTTCTTTCTGGGAGCAGAGAACGCAAGGAAAGTCCCCTCCTTCGTTTCGTCTGTTTTGCTTTCTCTCTGTCTCCGTCTGGCCCCTTCTCGCTGGTGAAGCGTCTTGCTTTCTGCACCCAGCGTTGGCTTCCACTGATTCTTTTGCTGTAGCAGTGAGCGGCTGGGATTGGCAGGCAGGAGAAATGAGATCATGTGTGTGGGCAGGAGCTCAGCCTTGTTAACTGTTTCAGAGAATCACCCTGACGGGCAAAAAAAAGCATCTTTCCTCCTCTCTCCTCCGCTGGGATCCCAGGGGGGAAGATGAGGTTTGTGGCTTTCGGCGTTCAGGACTACAGCCTCTTGGTTCAGTCTCGGTCAACAAATCCTGGCCAAAGTGCCCGTGTTTGTGTCTTGGTGGTTTGTGGGCTTGCTTTACCTGTTTGGACATGTCAGATCTGTTTTATCCTTGTTTTTACAGAGAGGGCAGCAGGTAGAAGCTGGATGTCTCTAGCTTCCCTCCAGTGTGGGGTAGCCATGAAGGTGCTGGATTAGGAGTGGGGAGACCCAGGTTCTAGTCCTATTTCAGCCATGGAAGGTCTCTGAGGGACTTGAGGCCAGTTTATCCCTCTCAGCCCAAAAGCCTATGTAGAGAGTAGTGGGGAAGGTGCTGGATTAGGAGTGGGGAGACCCAGGTTCTAGTCCTCCTTTAGGTATGGAAGCCACCAGGTGACTCTGGGCCTGTCCCTGTGAAGGAACGGTTGGATGAAGGCCACACTCAAGGAGATAAGCATTCCCATGCTCCTGTTTAGGGCTAAGGAAACGCTTATCTCCTTGAGCGCGGCCTTCATCCGACCATTCCTTCACAGTCCCTTTCTCTCAGCTCAACTTCCCTCACAAGATTGTTGTTGTAGAGAAAATTTGCAGAAGGCATGCCATATCAATTTATGTCAGCATAGATATGCATCGTAAGGAAAGATGACTGTCACCTTGAAAGCCAGTGCGGTATAGGGATTCAGGTGTTGGACAAGGCCCAGGGGTTGAAGCTCTCTAGCCAACCTACTTTACAAAGTTATTGTGAGGAAAATGGGAGGAGGGGGCACTCTGGGTGCTGCCCTGAGCTCCTGTATTACATACATCTAACAAACAGATATGCCTTTCCATGCCAGCTGATGAAGAACACGTATCGGGGGGAGCTATTAGACTCAACCTTGCTTGGCAATCTCCTGGAAGAAACATTCATTTGGACACCCTGAGACCAGAATGCAAAACCCAACAGCCTGTGGACAGATCTCAGAGAGATCTTCTCATGAATCCTCTGTTCCTTGTTTTCTTTCCTCCAAGATGAGTACAGATGAAACATTACTTGGAGAGAATTCTAGCCTCCAGCTTCAGCATGTCTTTAAAATATTAAAAGAACAAGGGTGGGCCTGCCTTAAGAAGAAAACTAAACCCTGAGCTGCACATATTGGTAAACTGTGTTTAATTTAAATTTAAACCTATTTGTATTACATTCAAATAATGAATTGCATTGCCTCCATTTTACTTGCTTACTTCCTGCCTAGCCTGCAACCTTGGTGTCTCCTCCTGGGGTTCCATCCAAGAACTAATCAGGTTTGAGTCTACGTAGCTTTTCAAACTCAACCAAGGTTAAATGTTGCCACTGTGTGTATACATCAGCAGAACAGTCATCACTAGATTAACTAGGCCACTGATCTGATTCTTACTGAAGACTGTTGTTCATGCGTCTGAGGAAGTTATTCACCTACTGTATTCACAATTTGCCAAACCACACAGCAGACCATGATTTGTTGATTGCCCTCCTATTGGGCAGGTGGTCAGCCATTACTTAAAGAAAAAATTAATACTCCCTGGTGGTCCAATCAGGGCCAAAAGTTCTATAGATGGGATGGAAAAGAGTTGAGTCACCTCTATATTCTTTATTCTACATTCACCTCTCTGGGGAAGGCACTGAATCAGATGCTACAATCATGGTTAAGCTTTCCTCCTTAATCACAGGCTAATCCATGATTCAGAATCAGATGTCACACTCCACTTAACTACAGTAGGGCTTCCTGTCTCTTGAGAACAAGTTCTATTTTTTTAATATAAATTTTATTGAAACTTTTAAAAAAGAAGATACAGACTAATACCAAATAATATGAAGAAGAAAAGAGAGAAAGAAAGAAAGCAAAGAGAAAGCAAAAAGTACAAGAAAAGAAAAAAAAGTTAAAGAAAAATAGAAAAGAAAAAAAAAGATACATAGCGGTGGCTTCCGATATTCTACACAGCAGTTATAGAACAATTATATTTTAACCTCTCTCTCTAAAGTTACCGCACGACTCTTTGTTCTAAAAATCTATCCTGTCTAATCATCAAAACCATAAATCACAAGTTCATTTTTTTCATTTTTACACAAAAAGTCCATAAGAGGCTTCCAGTCACCCATACAAGTTGATATTGTCCTTTCTCTAATCAAAGAAATTAGTTTATCCATCTCAGCAAGATCTGTCAATTTAACCAGCCATTCCTCCATGGTGGTAGTATCCAACCTTTCCATCTCTGTGCATATAATCATCTCGCCACAGTGATCATATATTGAAATAATCTTCCATGGCTTTTGAGAATGAGGTCTATGTTTTGTGATATCTTGACTTGCAGAAGGACTCTGCGCTGTTAGGGAGGCAAGAGTCCTTTGCTTGCAACTCAAAATCTTCCCCTGTTTAATGTGTCAGTGGGCATCAGAACTACTGACACTCAAAAAGCAGAACAGTGAAACAGAACATAGTGTGCCTGGAGATCATTTCTGCTGTCCCGTCCCTGGGTGATGAAATGGCCATGACTGTTTGCAATGTAGAAAAGATGCAGAAAACAATGGGCCTGGAGGAAGAGCAGAAAGCTAAGAAGAAGAAGAAAAACATTATCCAACATTAATACTCCCTGGTGATCCAACCAGGGTCACAAGCCCGTAGGTGGGCTGCTGAAGCTGAAAGAAAACCATGGATAATAATCCAGGTGGTGCTCAAGAGAAAAGACTCCATTGGGTTGGGTCAACTCCTGGGGATCCCACAGATGAGCCCTTGTGGTTTTCTTGCCAACCATATCCAAGTGGTTTCTCATTGCATGGTTGGAGGCTAGACTAGGAAGGCAAAAAAAATCTGGCCAGATCTCAGAAAAGATAAGTAAGGGGAGACTCATTAGCATTTTTATGGAAGACAGATTTGTAGCTTAGTCTGGGAAATTGATAAACATCCCCCGCAAAGTCAGTGACAAACTATTCTATATTGGGGCAAGAAAGCTCTCTGAAGTCACAGGAGTTAAGCCTGGCTTGAAGGAGGCTTTATCTTACATCAGGAACTATGGAGTAAAACAAGGAAAGAATCTTAGGGCACCATCCATCCATTTTTCCATTCAGGCAAAATTATATTTGTCATAAATGGGTTTGCATCAAGGTGTTACCTGTCTCTTCATGGTTGTGGGGGTTTTTTTTGTTTTTGTTTTTTTTGCTGCAGTGGTCTGTTTGGAAATTATTGAAAAGTTATCACTACAATCAGGATCAACTCACCTGAGACACAAATAACCAGGCTCAACTTATCCTGCTTCAGACATATTATGCCAAGACCCAGCTCTCTGGAGAAGGCTCTGATGCTGGGAAAGGTGGAAGGAAAAAGAAGAGGAGGATGACCAGAGCATGGCAGATGGACTCAGTTACAGTGGCGATGGGGGCACCATTGGAAGGTCTGAAGGCCAGGTGAGGGACAGATCATCAGGGAGAAAATCTATCTATGTGGTTGCTAAGAGATGAAAATAATGTGATGGCACATAGCCAGTCAAGAATCAGGATGTTACACTCACCCCTTGTTAAATTAGTGGCCCCACCACCACCTACTTGGGCCTTTTAAAAAACCCACACATAGTTACCAGGGGTTGTCTATGGGTTCTTGGGAATATTTAATTTATTAGCTTGCAATTTCCAACCCCTACAAAATCCAGCTACTAGGGAACTGTCCAGAGTACCAAACCATACCCCAGGCATTTATTTGTGTTTAAATCATCACTTGGATTTTTGCGACTGAGAAATTAGGCACAGGAAGCAAGCAAATATTTTAGCTACCCAGCTGATATATTGGGTTTGTCTTGTGTGTTCTCCTGCCTGCCTATTTCTGTTATGTCTATCAACCAGGACCAAAAGTTGACTTCCATATAAAACATCCTTGTGTATCTCTTTGAATGTCTTGGTTGGTAGTGATTCATACACCCGTTTCCTTGGAGGAAATACCTTTCTTGTCATGGAACAAGTAGGATGTGCAAAACAAGTCCTGTTGATTTGTTATTTAATTCTCTTACTTAGTATTCGTTTGGACAATTTTGAAGGGTATTTCAAAAGAGTATACAAATTTAATTTTATTTAGGTATTCCTTTAGGATAGATTTAGTGCATTTTTAAGAGCTGCATGCATTTGAGATATGGACCCATTCATTCTTAGAGTCGTTTAGATTCTAGTATTCTAAGTTATTTTATATATTTCACTATATTCGTATTTGTAATAGTTTATAATTAGATTGTGAACCATTGCTAATCTACGACTTGTGACTAATTCTGCAGTTTTACGCTGGCTGAAAATTGAAATGAAATAAATGGAAACAAAATATTGCTCTTTTTATTCCTTTACTAGTGGGAAGGTGTTCAAACAATGCAAAATTATGTGATTTCTTGACTTGGCTTCATGTAGTTACAGCTCAGAACAAAGAGAGAAAATCACTCAGGAGAAACCTTGAAAGAGGGGCTGAACTTTCACACATTATTCAGGTCTGGCAACAATGTGTCCTTGGTTTTGGGATGGTTGGTCACGTGAATCCCACCATTGCAGTTGCAGGCTGCAAATTCATCCAGTCCCAGTTTAATGACTAAGGCACAGCAAGGCAAATCATGGTTTAATGCAATG